ATGGTATTTAAGGCAAAATTTAACAAAGTTTATACTATGCTTATGAATATTATGTTAAAAGCAGAAGTATATTCTGAGAGGCATTTTAAACTATGTTACGATAGCTAATTTGACTATGTTACGATAGCTAATTTGTGTAGCCTATACTCATAATAACTATAACTGGATTCTGTAATCATCTGTTGTGTAGTTAACTGTTATGTATGGAGTAATTGCTTAGAAATTGAAGGATGCACAGTGTCAAACTGTCATCAAACCTTATTTAATATTTTCATTTTCACTTTGATAAGACTGCAAAATACAGATTGGGTGCGTCATGCATTGAGTGGCGTAACATGGAGTACTTCTCCAATGAATTAAATCACTGTGCCGCATAAATAACACGGTAATAATATAAATAATAAGGCCACATGAATAACACGGTTGTATGTCCTTGTTAAACACAACCGAATACCAAAACACTAAGGAAGTAGATTTTGGAAGATATTGGATTTTTTTTTCAAGACACCATGCACTTTATTATCATCCTTAGGATTTGGTTTGTTGTGTAAGTGCCTCAGCATGAAAATTTTGCTGAAATTATTGGTTCCGATGTTTATTCAGCATTGGTTGTAATAAATATATCGAGCCTGCAGACGTAGCCATTTGAGGGACAGAATGCCTTCTTCAAGTTCTCCCCACTGACCTTTGTTTTAAAGTGGACGTGGTATAGGCAAATGATGGAACAGCATCTTCTGTGCCAAATGACGAAAGATACGTTATTTGTTAACTTCTTGCGTACGGCGAATAATTTGACAGTCTTAAATGTGAAAATGACAATATAGATAACATACATGTGGGAAAACTGTGAAGGTTCAATGCACCACAATCGGTGGTGTACCAAGACCGTCTTTACATTGGTTCAAAAAGGATATCAAAGTGAAGAAGCCGAGGACTTAACATTATTACAAGGCAGTGATACGTACATATTATCAATCTTGTTGTCAAAATGAGGATAATGGAAGTCGAATTCAAATGTAAAGCTGGTGGAAAATCTGTAGTTGGGAACCATGTCTTGCTCTGTTGTACCTTTAAGCATCTAACCTTATGTAAGTAGGCCTATAACAATAACTAAAATACCGTATGATGTTGGAAACTCTTTAAACATTACCTTGTGAGGACATTCCACGTATTTCTAAATACAATTGTTTCTTCAACAATAAGCCCGTGACGCCACTTCAATAAATGTTCAATATTATTAGAGATGCAACAATTCTGGGGATTTTAGAACTTCAAACTGAACACTAGGTGCTAATATAAGATGCAAAGTCAGTGTACCATCTGGATAAATGCCAATAAAAGCATCACATTTTCTTTTACCAGGGATTATGCAGCAAATAATGACTTGATCATAGTATGCGGATCTGTAGTAGGCCTACTTATTTTACTAGGCCTACTTGTAGTTTTTATCAAAACCAAAAGTGTAGTATGAGATTGTCTCCCGGTGTACATCGCATGACCCCAACACTGGAATTAAGTCCTTTAAATGTTCGTGGGCTATTCCTTGTGTTCACACTGAATAAATCCAATCGAATCTAAAAATATTTAAATTGCAGTTACATATTTTTCAAATGACGCCCCTTCACTCATAATATGAAGTATATGTTGAAGAAAAAACTTTATAGGCCTACCAGTATATAGGATATGCAACACAAAATATGCTAAAAACTTTGCGTGTACTTTCGTATATTTGTATGCAAGCGATATTTATACATATGTACATAGCAAATATAAATAAAAGAATTGAATTGTAAAGTATTTTCTACATACAAGTTATAAATGTATACAAGCTATAAGCTATAGGCTTATGTAGAAATGAATTCGAAACCAATATAGTCGTCAGAAACAGGGGTGGGGCGCTTAACAAATTTGGCTGCTAAGCTGCAGACTTGCTACTTCTACCCACCTTCTCACGGGCGGATACATGTTTTAATTATTTAATTTGGAATCCTATTCACTCCAACCTCCAACGTGGTTTACCCCTCAAAGGCCAGACACAATAAAATACAACAAAACACAACAACAAAAATATGTACAAATATAAATTCTACAGCTTAGAGGTTACAACAAGGCACTTATGATATTTTGCATGAATAAAATTATTAATTATTAATTTAAATAGAAGTAAAACATAAAACACAAATGCCATTGGCGGATCCAGAAATTTGAAACTGAGAGGGCCCAGAAATAGACTTTCACAGATGGAGGTCTATACTACCTCAGCCCCACCATTTGATTATGGCACCTCTAGATGGCCGGAAATTGCACTCAAAATTTGAGGAGAATTTTCTTTCTTTCTCAATCTTTTTTCGATTTCAAAAGTTTAGGGTGGCCTGACTGGCTGCCCACTGCCCCACCTCTCTTAAATCCGCCACTGAATGCCTGGCTGGACTAGGAAAATTTATTGAAACCTGAGCCTGCGTAGCTTTATTGGTCTGAGAACGAATATCATACGCATGAATTGCTCTTCGATTAACAGCCTGGTGACTGCTTATAATCACCATGGTAATATTTGGCAATATTACCATGGTGCTGTCAATATTTGCTATAGATTCGTTCTATCACTGATAATACACAATGCATACAACATTGACCCCTGTTTATGTCAGTGGGATATGGCGCTCTGTGGAAACAATATTACTCAGGTCTGTAATTCCTTGATTTTACTGTAATTTTGATCATATGCCATGTCATATTGGATAATATAACGTTGAAATTAGAGGTGCAATTATTAATGTATATAATGTAGGCCTGTAGCGATTTTCTATATGCAGCGGGTAGGACCTACACACATTGCAATCAATATAGAGAGCATCGCAAGTAGCGTTTCAATGGGAGGCATGGGAGCAATTACCGTAGCCAGCTATTGGGACAGTTGAGACAGTCCCACACAATTTTTCTATGGGGTCCACAAATAATGGGTTCATATTTTTAAAATGGGTCCAGATTTCTCAAACTTTGTTGAAAATGGGTAATTTTTTAAGAAAATGGGTCCACATTATTCATATTTTTGCATAAAATGTGACAACTTTTATGAAAATCGGTCCACATTATTAAAATTTACGCGTAAAGTGCAGGTCCACCCTGATATTGTCCCACACTGTTTGAAATTCCCGGCTACAGCATTGCATAGGAGTAACACCCTACCCCCAGACCAAGTCTATGCGACCCCTCTTCGAACTGAAAACAGACCAGTTTTTTTTGTGTGTTTTTTTTTGCGTTAATAGGCGCTTTAAAATGTGTATGATTATTATTATTTATTACACTCAAGCCCCATCGACCACGACTTGTCGGATCAAGATGAAAATTCTTAATTTGTTCTGAGACCTCTCAGAACAGTTAAAACGCGGTTCTTTGCCCCTAAAATCCAACATTTGCTACTGACCAGGCCCTGCAAACCCATCCACCTTCGGAAATTGTAAGGTCCCACGTCAGGCTGTTTTAATGTAGCCACTACATCTAATAAAGTTATCGCCAAGCGCTATGAACAATACATCCCACTTTGGTAATGTTATTAGTAGATGCATATAATATTAGTATCATTATCATCAACTTCATCGTCATACACTTTTTTTCAGTTTAATAGGATAGCACACATATCCAGAAAACTACTCAAGGCGCTTTTTCCCTGGTCTTTTGATACAGAACCAATCATCACAACGTGCAACCTCCCCCGCTCCCTAGGAGTATTCCTAGTTTAAGCAGCACTACTAATTTTATTACGAATCGTTATAAATATTATATATAATCCTGGATGAAGAGAAGCGAATGCAGATAAAGTGTCTTAAAGTACACAATCAGTGTGACAAGCATCGGCATTGAACCCCCGACCTTTCGGTTATAAGGCCAACGCTTTACATGCTGCTCCACACCCTTTTTCATAACATTAATCGTCATAATTTTCATCGGATTTATCAATGAATAATAAATTAAATAATGCATATTAATAAATAATTATATGAAATAATACAGATTCATAAATGTGAAATAAAATAAATAATTGATTTTTGAATTATTATACGAAAATACAAGATGTAAGGTATTAATTTTACTTATGTGACGTCGTCTTTTATATGAATCAAATTCCTATTCATTTATTTTTTTTAGTAAAGCGGAACTACTGGAAATATGGATAAACTAGAAAAGTAACATTCAAATCCATTCATGTGACGTCATTTCAGAAGCTATGAGAGGCATAGCTCAACCTTCCAAAAAATGGAACAAGCCTCTTGAGTCTTGAGTAGGCCTACAGTCTGTTTATAATATATAAAATCATAGTTTTAAAGGACAATTGTATCTTAACTATGTACTTTGTTATTATCTGTCTAAAAGGTGTTTTGCGGGATACATCATGCAAAAATATATTTAAAGAAAATGAAAGACAATTGCGGCCAAATCAAAACAAAAACCTAAAAAGGATTAGGAAAACATTTTGTTTTTCTTGAAAGTAAAACTAGATGACAGCATACATCACATGGAAATTCTGGCAGAAATTTCAATTGCTGTATCGTAAATAAATTAGGCCTGTACAGTATTATTCTTACATGTCTAAATATAAAAGAGGACCATGTGATTACAGAAATTGAAAGCGACATTATTGCTGACACTCAAGTTATCTGATTCATTGGTTGTAAATGATTTCGACATCATAGTGTAATCTTTATTTATGGATTTTCAATTCTATCTTAGCTATGTTCAAACAAGAAAAATAAATAAAATAATTAAAATAATTGCTAATAATTATTAATTTGAATATATTTTAAGAAGTAAAAAGGACCAAACTAGAGTCAATATTATTATTAATAATATGATCTATACATAAGATAATAATAGCTTTTGAATGCAAATATATTCTATGCGCACGAATTAAATTAGGTGCCGGACGACGGATTACAATCACTATAAATAGTAGGCAATGCTTAAGTCACGTGCTTACAATCTATTCTTTAGATTCACCGGTTCTATTACAATACACAATGCATACAATAAATTGACTGAGAGTAGTCAATGGAATGTGCGACTGTGAATAACAACTACCTGGAATATAATTCGTTGATTTCACTGCGGTTTTGATGGCACATTTATAGGCCTATTGGGTAATGTAACGTTAAGGTTGGTAAGTTCATTAAGTATTAATTATTATAATATAGTAACTCGTTACATAATTATTAACAGCAGTGATTGTTTATATAATGGTGGGTGTATTATTCACTCACGGATACATGACGATGCACTTTGCTTTAGACTACCATAGCAACTGTGTACAACAAATCACACTAGAGTTACGATTAATAAAGGCCGAGACTAAAATTAAAACGATTATCGCATGTTACATTGTTATTACTAAATACACACATATAATATAATATAATATAATATAATATAATATTATAATACCAGTGACTGGGACTGAGTCAAAAAACTGAAACAGATCTGAAGTTTTATTTTTTTCTTTATGCAATACAGTATATAGAATAGAAATATATACCATACGAGTCAGGTATATCTTACAATATTGGGTACTGACATCCTAAAAAGAATAATTATTTATTTTTGGATGAAGCCATTCTTGCAGTACTTGACGTAATACCACACAGAGCTGAAAAGATAATAGTATAATACATACTCCAAGTATCGAAATGCACGCCATCGTGTCGGGATTCAATATTTCGACATGTTTCGACATCATCAGGAATGAAAAATTATCCATATTTGCAAGCTTATTTGCACAAGTACCAAAAGTGTTTGACCAATCAAAACATTACCCCTAATAGGTGACATAGCTATGAATAAACTAAAGATCAAAGCATTCTTACCCTACTGATCAAAGCTACCTACAAAAACAAAGAAAGCTCCTTTGAAGCTTTCAGCCTATTATTAAGTAATGGGTGTAGCCTACGTATAGCAAACGCTTCTTTAAACTTAGCTGAACAGAAATACTGTTCCGGTAATTATTAATTCCGCATGGTTTCTTTTCAACAGGAAAGGATTTAATAGAATCATCCGGCAACATCTACTACATTAAGTCTACCGACCAACCGAACGCCCTTGGAATAGTAGGAACTAAGTAAGCTTACACCGTTTACCCATATATAAGGTTCGAATACAATTTTTCTTTCTGTACAATACATAGGTTCATATTGTCTAGTCTAGTTCAATCAATTATCTATACTATCAGTTTATTTCATTTGTATATAGTCGACATTGTACAATTCTTTGTGCAAATACATTAATCCATAAAGCTAAGCGTGTATTGGACATTCTGACCTCTATTGACCTTAATTATTCTGAAGTTTTTTTAATTTAAGTGATTAAGCAGCCAGTTGTTTCTAACATCATGGAGTTGTACTCACTAAATTTACCAGCACAAATGATAACCCACCCCAACATTTCTATATTATATAAAGTTTCCTTGTTAACATCGATTATGAGAAAAAAGAAAATATCAAGAAAGCTTAATTACGTAGAGGAGGGGCATGATTAATGCTTCACAGTAAAAACAGAATGTGACTATAGCCTGGTTCTCACGAGAGCCCTAGTATCCGGATCGGGAGCTAACCGTTAGCGATAACCGTTAGCACCTGCGTGAGAGCGCCCGATCGGTTAGCGCTAACCGTTAGCGGTATCCGGATACGCTAACGGTTAGCAAGCGCTAACGGTTAGCAAGTTGAGGGCGTTTCTATCATCAACCAATCACACGTACGCGTTTACAATTTCCAGTTTCTTATTGGCCAGTGATTCGATCATCATAATTGTTGGTATCCGGATCGGTATTTTCTCGCATGGACGCACGGCAGCTAACGGTTAGCAGGATCCGGATCCTGCTAACCGTTAGCCGCCGTGTGAGAACATAGCCGTTAATTAATTACATATTGAAGCTAGTCGTTCGGTTTTAATATAGCTTATAACTTTCCCCAGCAGTTTTCACCTAATGTCATGGTGATAATTTGACTTCACAGGGAAAAAAACATAACATTTACAATGAAACGATCCGAGGTTGAAGAGTTGGTTAAAAAAATTGAGGAATCACCTGAAAAAATTGATTCTTATATAAAGAAGCTGATTACGGCAGTGGACGAGTTCGACGAGGAGGAAGATGTGAACGAAAAAAATCTGAACATAATAGCAGATGTTGTTGAAGACCATGTTGCACCAGCAGCTGAAAAATGGTTAGTTGTGAAAATTAATATCAATTGAACTACATACTTGTACTATGATTGGTTCGGGTCACCGTTTAAAATGTTTTGTTTTCAATCGTACATTATCTGCTATTGCAAATTGTTTATTGGAATTTGTGACATGCAGTATAATAAACATTAGGCCTAGTCAATTACGACCAACTATTAGTACAAAATCTAAATTTAATTATTTTCAAAATCGGACAGTTATGCAATTATGCATAAGCATATGTAAATTAATGAAAATCCCTTAAAAACACCATGTCACCAATGCATTCCACCCCAGCTTTTGCTATCGGTAAATTTTTCGTAGATTTATAATCATGCGGTACTGAGTATGGGCAAGATTTCCTGCTCCACAAAGAGACAGATGTATTATGGGGCTTGGAATTAAAAGTATAAGCCGTCTTCATTGAAACTTAAATGCTAGCCCTTAAAACATTATGCATTATTTTTAATTAATAACAGTAATTTAAGAAGTCCTTAATCGCAATCAAAGACATATCAATAAAATTCCGTCCATTAGACGTACAGAGTAAACATTAAAGCATTAGGCCTTGTTGGTCTGGTCTACAGACCGATTTGCACTAACCAAGCAAAGACAAGCATTCATGCAGACATCTTTAAGTTATTACTGCACATTAAAGGTAACATAATTTTTATAGTATAACTCTGGGGTTTTCTTTTTTAACACGAAACGCAGTAAAAGTAAAAAGTCTGGAGTCATGGCCAAACTTGCGGTTGCTTTGGCAAAAAGAAAGATGACGAGGTACTATCGCAGCATAAATGATATTCTGCGAGAACGAAGCATTGTAAACTGGAAGGTAAGCTTGGTCCTAAATTCCTAAATCCTGTTTCTTGTAGTACTTTTTTTCTGGCACATGAGCGCACATTGCAGGATACTGGTCCTTATAGTTGTCATGGTTGTCCACAAGCATCATGATTTTGCGTATGTTTTGTAAGCTGATGAACATTCTTTGTAAATATACTGAAAGACTGAGGTACCGTGAATTGAAATGAACACCCATACACATACATACAATATACACATACAAGTACACATTCCATACATATATACACATACATAATAGGTCTATGTATGTAACGATACCTCAGTATTTCTATGCTGTACATTATCTCCTAGATGTACTATATTCAGGTTTCAGTATTGAGATGCAAACAATTTCACTTATTTAATATAAACTGAATCATTGACATTTCGACGCTACATCATATTAGACAATTTATACTTCACTTATATTTCATATAAAATACGTCCAATAATTTTGCATCTCGTATACATTTGTTTTATAACATGCCATAGAAAACAAAAGCCACATTGAGTATGGCATAGTTTAAAATTAGTGTCATTTTGTGGACCTTCACACCAATGTCCTAGGGACACGCCTTAAAGGAAAGGCCCATTATTATGAAAACATATATTTGTTTTGGTCATTAAATTTGTCGGAATTTTATTTTGCTTAATTAGATTTAGATGGATTACTATATTATACGTTAACATTATTATTACTTTTATCATCATCGCCATCGTCATCGTCACCGTTAATTGATAGTAAAAATGTTACCTTTCAGAGTCTTGGTTTTGAGCTTTCACTGTTTTCACAACATTCACTGAACTGACTACCTTACTGGTTGTGTGACCGTTCCATAATTATTGTTCCTTATTTTTATTATTATTATTATTATTATTATTATTATTATTATTATTATTATTATTGTTATTGTTATTGTTATTGTTATTGTTATTGTTATTATTATTATTATTATTATTATTATTATTATTATTGTTATTGATATTATTTATTATTATTGTTATTGTTATTATTATTGTTTTAATATAGCTAATATTATTATTACTCCATTACTCTTAATAATATTAATATTATTTTTATTATTTTTATTATTTTTATTGTTATATTATTATTATTATTATTATTATTATTAATATTATTATTATTAATATTCTCGAAAAATAGCTCATCTGTGTTGGTGTTTGAATATACTAAACGTTTAAACTTTTGATCACAACACAAACAAATTTCATTACCGTGAAATTTTCGACCGTAACGCCACGGTCTTCCTCAGCACAATGACTGGAATATGACTTGAAGGCTACACCGATTTCGGGTACGTGATCTTACGAACACGTGACTCCAAAATCGGATCGTAGATCTTTGGCAGTTTGTGTCCGTCTCGGTTTAGTGTTGGTTTGTTCACACGGATATAAATTGCCTCTTTGATAACCTCTTTCAAAGTGTCTTGGTTCCCTGTCAAGAATGTTGACCTGTGCCAGGTCCACATGATGTCCAGGTGATTCAATGTGTATATGTTGAGAGATTTCCGATGAAGTTGAACTCGGTCTACGATGTTCCAAGAAACGTGTTTTCAGAGTTCTTTCTGATTCCACAATGTAAGAATCCTTACATTTGCCGGAAGTGGTTTTGCCTTGGCATGGGATGTGGTAGATGGCACCTGTGATGTCTTTCTTTTGGCTCTTGTCCTTTGGTGATACTCTTTACGTCAGTTCCAGTGGATAAATCGTTGGAAATCATTCACACCAGACTGCAAAACGACCCTACTCTTAGTAATAGGACCACCGTTACACCACAACAGATTACGTATTAAGCTCTTGGAGGTATGCCTGAGGTGCACGTATTTCGTATACAATGGCACGTTTTACCAGCAAATCCGTGGAGCGGCTATGGGATCACCGGTATCCCCCATCGTATGCAATCTTTACATGGAAAATATGGAACAACTGGCTATTAAGACTGCCCTTCATCCCCCAATTTGGTTGTACAGATATGTTGATGACACACATACTAAACTGAAGAAAGCTCATGCTCAAGAATTTACTGATCATTTGAATTCATTGGACCGGGATATTAAATTCACAACAGAGGGCGAGGTCAACCGTTCGCTGGCTTTTCTTGACACGCTTACAGTAATACAGAATGATGGTAGTATTAATATCAAAATCTACAGGAAACCGACAAACACTGATCAATACCTTAACTTTAACTCTAATCACCCTCTTCAACATAAATTAGGGGTCATCAATACACTTTATCATAGAGCCAACTCACTCGTCACGAAGGAGGAAGACAACAATTATGAATGCTTACACATCGATCAAGCTCTGAACAGATGTGGTTATCCAAACTGGGCTATCAATCGAGCAACTAGGAGACATAAGGGCAAGGTTGACTACCCGGCATCACAACTGTCTCTTATACACATCTAGATGTGTATAAGAGACAGCCCATACACATACATACAATATACACATACAAGTACACATTCCATACATATATACACATACATAATAGGTCTATGTATGTAACGATACCTCAGTATTTCTATGCTGTACATTATCTCCTAGATGTACTATATTCAGGTTTCAGTATTGAGATGCAAACAATTTCACTTATTTAATATAAACTGAATCATTGACATTTCGACGCTACATCATATTAGACAATTTATACTTCACTTATATTTCATATAAAATACGTCCAATAATTTTGCATCTCGTATACATTTGTTTTATAACATGCCATAGAAAACAAAAGCCACATTGAGTATGACATAGTTTGAAATTAGTGTCATTTTGTGGACCTTCACACCAATGTCCTAGGGACACGCCTTAAAGAAAAGGCCCATTATTATGAAAACATATATTTGTTTTAGTCAATAAATTTGTCGGAATTTTATTTTGCTTAATTAGATTTAGATAGATTACTATATTATACGATAACATTATTATTACTTTTATCATCATCGCCATCGTCATCGTCACCGTTAATTGATAGTAAAAATGTTACATTTCAGAGTCTTAGTTTTGAGCTTTCACTGTTATCACAATATTCACTGAACTGACTACCTTACTGGTTGTGTGACCGTTCCATAATTATTGTTCTTTATTATTATTATTATTATTATTATTATTATTATTATTATTATTATTATTATTATTGTTATTGTTATTGTTTATTATTATTGTTATTATTATTGTTTTAATATAGCTAATATTATTATTACTCCATTACTCTTAATAATATTAATATTATTTTTATTATTTTTATTGTTATATTATTACTATTATTATTATTATTATTATTATTATTATCATTAATATTATTATTATTATTATTAATATTATTATTATTATTATTATTATTTTTATTATTATTATTGTACTCAACGTGGTATTATAGGACCAAACTGCGGAAGCTATTATGCTAGTTGAAACATTCGTCGAACCACCGGAGATAAGAGTTTCGAAACGAGACGAGGATTGGAACGGCAAAGACCATCCAGAAAAAAGTGATTCGGCTGAAAAAATCATGAACTGTGTAGATAAAATGGTAGAAGCGTTTCAGTAAGTAGACCTACTCTTTGTCAGAAGGATAATGCTTGGAATAAATGTTAATGAATATTGGGTAATGTTTCATTCAACGAGGCGAACCGAGTTTAATAGAACGAGCATCTCTCAACGAACATTCTTTCTATTGGACGAAAAAAGCGTCCATTATTTGTTTGGTGAAATAGATTTCTGTCGTTTGAGATTGTAAGAAAAACAAAGTTAGTTCTAATTTCAACGAATCAAAGCATTGTATTAGTTGGAGGCGTTTAATGAATAGAACAAATTGAAAATGGCCAGGACTACTGTAGGCCTAGGCTTACGTTAAACATAGGCTCCCAGTGAGAGCGTGTGTCTATGCCCTATACTGCGTTACTGTACAAGTATTATGCCTACTAATACAGTAACGTATCCACATGTGAATTCGGTTATCAGGAAATGTGTGGTGTTGTTTACCGTAGTGACTTTTTAGTGAACTTTCTAGGACAGGTCTTATAATCATTTTTATCATGACTGATCCCATCATTCCTGCATACCGAATTTACTCGATCTTACAGCGTTAACTTCTAGACGAAAACATAAGCCTGGTTCTCACGAGAGCCATAGTATCACGTGTGTGAGAACGCCCGATCGGTTAGCTCTCACCGTTAGCGTTAGCGATATCCAGATACTGCTAACGGTTAGCAAGCGCTATCGGTTAGCAAGTTAAGCGCGTTTCTATCATCAACCAATCACACGTACGCGTTTAAATTTTCCAGTTTGTTATTGGCCAGTGATTCGATCATCATAATTCTTGGTATCCGGATCGGAATCTTCTTGTATGGACACACGGCAGCTAACGGTTATCAGGATCCGAATCCTGCTAACCGTTAGCTGCCGTGTGAGAACATAGCTAGTGTGTCTAGTTCCGAGGTGACATAAACACAAAAAATGGGTTTGATTATCATGCGATGGTGTAATTTATACCACGTGAAATCAAATCCGTCAATTAAAACAGAAGAATCTATTTAATAATTTAATTGATAATGTTTAATATCCTGTTTTAATAGGAGAGATAAGATAACAAAGAAGGTTGGAACGCATCTCCTGGATTTGCTAATAAAATGTTTGAAGGGAGCCACCACCGTCCAGATTAAGATTGTTGAAGGACTAACAGATGACTGGGATTTTAATGTTGAAGTATGCCATCAAGTTTGTCCGTGGTTTTATTTAGTTAAATAGCTGCGCTCTTTTATTTATTTACATGTGTTAAGATGATTTTAAAATGTCTTAATGCTACTGTGGCTGCTGTTGTTGCTACTACTATTACTACTATTACTACTACTGCTACTGCTACTGCTACTAATATTACTACTACCACTACTACTACTACTACTACTACTACCACTACTACTACTACTACTACTACTACTACTACTACTACTACTACTGCTGCTGCTGCTGCTGCTACTGCTACTACTACTAGACCAATACTACTCCGCCAACTACTATATAAGCACTGATACTTTAATATAGTATAACATTAAATAATAGGCAACGCGGTGGTTGATTGAGAATGTTAATATAAGAAAATAAACAGTAAAAACAACTCAGGTTAGAATGATAAGAATATAAAAGTGATGAAAACGGAGACTATCGATATAATACAATATATAATATGTGATAAATCCATAAGGCCTATTATTCAAATTAATGTGGCAGAAATCCGAAATACCTATTACGTAATGATAAAAAACCTTAGTGAAAATGAGCGCATATAAAGTGGTAATACAAAAAAAAAAACATACAGTAAAAACAACTCAGGTCAGAATGATAAGAATAATATAAAATATGGTGGATGTCCGATATATATATATGTATATATAATAGTAATGGAAACAAAATATGATGGATCCATAAAGATTATATGCATTAAAAACCGAAGACGTAAGTAGTTGAAGACTGCTAAAAGAATAACTTAAAATATCTAATCCGTATAGGGTGCTAAAGCTAAAGAACTGATACCGGAGTTATTTAAGGCACTTGATGACTGGTACAGGCAAATTGATGAGGTCTTATCGAGCGAAGATGATCACTTTCAACACAAACCCTCGGAAAAATCATTAGAAATTGCATTTAAATCAAACTGGTAAGATATATTATAAAATTTCAGGTGTTTATCTAGGTTAAGCCGGAAACAAACTCCCTATGTGGGTCAGGGGAACATACTAATCAAGAGAACATTTTATCTCTCAACTAATGTAAATATTTTTCCCCTCCATGGCCACTTTCATTTTATAATATGCCTAAATCCTAAAACAAAAAGTTATATCTGCCTTTCTTTTAAACATAGCATCTTCTTTCAAGGAGTACAAACATTGTATTAGGTGCAATGAAACAAAATTAATGGGACAAAAAAAAATGAAAATGGTATCAAATTACACGAAGTATTACGCAAATCAAAAAATAGATTAGTTTGCTAATAAATGGTCTAAATACATAACTTGGTAATATTTATTTATTACTATTTAGTTATGGCTGTGGCTAGCAGGTCCGGTACGTACGATATCTAGGTAATGGTGAATGTTTCTAGCTGTTGTCAACCCTAACCTTCTTTATCATTACCGAGATAGCCTACTGACCGGAATTCTAGGCGAATCGATGTTATAATAACGAATGATACATTGTTTATAATTTATAGTCCTGTAGATAAATATATGAAGCACGTTGTCTCAATATGGAATAACACATTGACGAAGGAACTGGACGGCCAGCCACTCACGGGTTGGGGTTCGATTGCAACCACAATATTAAGCAGCTTCATAATTTCTAAGGTACATACATATAATTGTTTTAACCATCTACTATTGTAAACCTAATAGCCCATGTATTGAAATGATTCATCTAAAGAAATGAAGAAATGGAACACTTGATACTCTAGCACTAAGTACCGTGTGAATGATTTGAATTTTTTGAGAGACACAAATTATGAAATGTTTGTACAGGATTTTACCCTCACCTGACATTCAGAAGCCAAGCATCTTATTCATCAAGCCTAGTAGATTATCGTAAATAAAAAAATATGATTTTTTTTCCCTTCTGAACCAATTTTAAATAATTTTAGGCTACTTCGATAGACATGAGTGAATTCGTCCCGGGGATAATGCGACTATTGAAATCAGATATTGAGTTGCTGAAATCCCTTGCGTCAGGTGTTATAGCAACGATGTATCAGAAGATTGATGCTCTTGTACCGTGCGCAGATGATGTAGTGGACGTGTTCATCAATGATGATGACATGGATTATATAGGAAGTAGGGAAAAACGAGTTTTTATCTTACAAAATATACAAGTTGAAAGATAGCTAATGACATTTTATACTTAATCACATAAAGTACCGAAGTAGCCGTTCACACTACAAAACCGGTTTTTTTTCAGTGGCTCTAAAACCTCTGTATGCAAAGTGTCCAGAAAAGATTATAAAGAAAATTGACATCATCATAGAAAGTTTAGGCGATATGGACTCTAGCAAGAAAGGTTATGTTTATATGTTACTAGACGATATTTCTAAGTCTGAACCACAGGTAAGACGGTAAAAATTGTTTACAAAAAGGTGTTTTATACAGAGAATTTGTCAATCGCTAAAGGGTAGTAATTATAGTTGATACAATAAAAACGAAGCCTGGGTCCATCTTCCCATTATCCATTGACGATTCTTTTTATCGCACAACCTCTAAAACAAACGTCCTACACTGTGCCTTGACTAAGCTAATTAGTGCACCTGAAATAACTTTTATTAATAGTACCTGCCCTACCTACTATTGATCATATTTCTTTTCTATTGGACTTAAAATATGTCCCGCTGTATACTGCTGTGTACGTGTATGTTCTGCTGTGTACGTGTAACTTTTCTTTCATGGGGACTATCAGTAGATCCGATTGTTCGTGATCTAGTCACTATGCGGTTTTACAGATCAAAGAAGAAGAATGTCAATTTCTCTTGATTTTTGGCGTATAAAAAGTACTATTCTAAAGCTAGCACTGTGAATTGGTTCCCATTAATTATTTATTACATTAGGTATATGTATTGGATTGTCTATACATGTATTACCGTATTTATATTGACAGCTTAGTTTGTAGGATTTATTAATGAATAAATTACATTTCAATTAATATTGTAATTTTTCTTTTACATAGAAAAATGTAAACATAAAACATTGCAAAAATTATTACTGCATACTTTGTTCCCACTTCAGGTATTTTTACCCCATCTGGACGTTTTAATGGAGGATTTAAACGATCCAAACCTTCAGTTCCAAGTTCTAATGGTCCTTGGCGAGGTTGCAGCAAAGTATCCAGAGAAGTTTGTCGATAAAGTCGATATTCTGAATGAAATCTTAGTGGAACAACCGATGGCTGTTTATCACGTGGATAAAATAATCGCCAGCGTAGGAACAATTGACAAGGTAGGCCTTATTATTTTTAAATTGCATGATAACACCATCATTTTCCTGCATCGTACATCATCATTTTGCATGGTAATCGTTTACCTTATTTATGGAAGCCGCAGTTAGGCTACGCCGATGTAAGTATTAGGAGTCAAGCAAACTATAATATAAAGGTAGGCTACCACTCCGATAGTAAACAGTAGAATAACACTAAACATTATAGACAGACAAATATTTAGTTTGCCCTAAACTGTAGGCCTTTTATAAGATTAATTAAGACCTCTGACCTTCGGATAATCTTTTCCTTTCGGATGGTCAAAATGTTAGAAAATACTAAGCCGCCAAGTTTATCTCGCTAAAAAGCAAACTCCTATATATACGGACTTTCGACTTTAGTTAGAAATCCTTGATTCACTATGTTATCCACAAGATTCTGAAAAGCAACAATCTATTCTTTGTCCACAAATTAGTGCATAGGTTTGCCATGAAATATGTGTATTGTATGCAGGCCGAATGTAAATGTAAAAGCTAGTAACGTTATCTTTTTATATGTTTGATGTAGAAAATTTGTTCTTATTTAAAGTACTTTTGTTTTAACAGTATGACTATAATTCATAAATTTTATATAAATTTAATAGGGAAAGGCAAAGAAAATTATGAAAATTCTAGCCGAACAGCTCCAGACAGTACAAGTGGTTTACCAGTCTGTGGTTATGATGGAAATGAAGAGAATAGGGCACAAGTATCCAGAATGTTTATCGGAGTACAGAAAGGAGATAGAAGCCATGAAAGACAGTCCACAGATGGGAGTAGGAGACATGGTGGTGGCACTCATCGACTTCATGGAGGGACGCACGTAAGTAACAAGGGCGCAACAGTACCGAATGTCTCAATTTTATGTCTAGCTAGGTTAACAACAAACATTTACAAATGTGTATCAGCTTTATAAAGATATTTTTTATTGATGCTACTAGTCTCGAAGCACTGCATGAAGATATTACCGAGCAGAGGGATGACATTGACAACTTGGACTCCCGGGTAACAACAACAGAGAAAAACGTAACTGAAGTCACTGAGAAAGTTGATAAACAGGGAGAGGAAATAACAGCTGTTCAAAATGATGTCGCTACTCAAGGGCAGAAGTTAGAGGAACTGGAAGAAGTTGTGGATGAGACAGTTGTAAAAGTTGATGAGATTGATCACAAGGTAGGTTAATGATTATCAGGTTATTAAACTTAGTATATTGAATTAAGATTATGTAATGCAAGCTAAAATATTGACAACAGATTGCCAGTCAGTGTCACTAGGATATTGCATTCATATATTGTATCTAGTAATTATAACGATTATGAATGTATTTATAGACTATTACTAATGCACCCAAATGGTCACGGGATGTTTCAAAACTTCTAAATCCTGAAGGTGATTACGATTGGAGATTTCTGGCAATTCGACTGGGATACTCTGGCGAGGACATTCGTAACTGGGCGTTGTCGCCAGATCCAACTATGGCGATCCTAGCTGAATGGTACACGACGCATAAAAGTAGTGACGCAACCTACGCTATACTCACGGCCTTGGAAGATATGGGACAAACAGAGGCTGTGAAAATTATTGAAGAATCCTTAGAACAAGCAGGTAGCCCAACGTAATGTTACGGTAGTAGATAGCTTGTCAGTAGACATAAGTAATTAGTGATACGCAATACATCGTCTACTCTATCATTTATATTTCAAGAACAGCAACAACAACAAAAACCTATTAAGGTAAAACATAGGTATGCTTCATTTAAACATTTATTTGAATTATTGAGTCTGTAATAGAAAATAATGTTTGTCGTACTATAATTATATGGTGTCATTTAAACTTTTCATAGATGCAATGGTTCCAAAATCAGGACCTGATATCTCAGAGAAACCACCAAAGGTCTTTATCAGCTATCAGTGGGATCACCAACCAGAGGTAAAAGCTATTCGAGATCATCTGGAGATGGCAGGATTCGATTGCTGGATGGACATTGGTCAGATGGGCGGAGGGGATAACCTCTACGCGAAGATCAATCAAGGAATGAGGGCTGCTAAAGTGGTTCTGTGTATGACAACTGAAAAATACTCAAAGTCAGAAAACTGCAACAAAGAGGTAAAATAACAGTTTGTGATAAATGAAGAACACTGACTTAATTCAAATGTTAGGTTTAATACATTTTCTTTTCGTGTAGAGTATTACATCATTCTCAATAAAATATTTTTCTAAAATTAATAACCAAAATTAGGATAGAAAAATGTTCAGTATTTTAAGACTTAGTAGCCCAAAATTTAAATTGATTATTGCAATATAGTGCCTATAAGATATTTTAAATTTGTATCATATATTGTCAAACTATATTTATTTTAATTGATATTTTTTTTATTGAGAATATTTACCTTTTTGTTTTACTTTGTTTACAGGTGAATTTGGCAAATCTTCTAAATAAGCCAATCATACCAATTCTTATTGAGCAAACGGCCTGGCCTCCAGAAGGACCAATGAGCATGCTTTTTGCTCAACTCCTTTACATTCAATTTTTTACCAAAGAGGAATATGTTCGGGGGGAGAAATTTTGGCCAGACAGCAAATTTTCGGAGTTGTTAGGTCAAGTTAGCTATTATGCTGCTCCTGACCCGACTAAAATTACTGATGGTGAGTGTAATAGAAATTTAAATTTCACATATAGATATTACATACTGTGAGGTCTACTACCTTTTCATGTGATATTTTGCATGTATGTGCAGTATTAGTGCTACATCAATCTGCGAGTGCGTTTCTATAAACTTACGTTTTACAGCAATACTTTATATTTTTAAGTTTATTTACGAACGTACATTTTTTTCAGAATACAAAAGTTGGGTGCCATCTGTCGAAGCGCCATCACAAGAAATTAAACGAGCAGCAGGCGAGGAGACGGCAAATGTAGAAAAGAAAGTGGAAGACTCTCAAGCGGTGAGTAAAATACACGGTCAGACGAATGATAGTTGTTATTTGAATACCGTTATGTCGACGTCCAGGGGCGGATTTAGAGGGGGCGGCCCATGATGGGGCGGGGGATGTAAAAAAAAATAAGAAAAAAAAGAAAAAAGGGAGGAAAAAGAAAAATAATAATAGCCCAGAACGCCTCAAATGCTATTTTCGGGCGTCTACAACACGAAAATTTCGCGGGGGCATGCCCCTGGACTCCCTAAGACAGTGTTGTTCGATCGGCCCAAATTTCGCCCCCTCCCCCTTTTGGACATCTCTGGATCCGCTTCTGACGTCAACATTCATTGTGTATACGATGAGGGGAGTACACATGGAAGTTAAGATACGATATTATTTTATTGTCATAAAGGAAATTGTGATGATTGTTACAGTAAATGAATACAATAAATAATCAAATTAGTCAGTCACGTGAAGGATAAACGAATTGAAGTATTTGCATAGGAGATAATGGGTGTCTTTGGATGAATCTAGGAAAGAGCACAATGACTCACGAAAAGAACAATAATACAGTACTCACTTGCCTTTCCCAGTTCTTCAGGTGGATCCATGTGGTCTTTCCTCTATCTTGAAATCCCACTTATTTCATGCAGAAAAATCTGTTCATCTTGCAATATCCATATATTATATTTTTAAATAAAAAGAAAATTGGAATTGTATAATGATAATCATTATTATTATTATTATCATTATTATTATTATTATTATTATTATTATTATTACTGCAGAATTATAATTATACAAAAATATTTCGTATTATTTCGTATTTTTAAATAAAAAGAAAATTGGATTTGTATAATGATAATCATTATTCTTATTATTATTAATGTAGAATTATAATTCATACAAAAATAAAAAGTAATGAGTTATTCCAGATGATTTATTATACTGCTTTTGTGTATTTCATTCGTTTTAATTGTAGATTTTTTGAATCACTATTACATTATTGTTTCGTTGTATTTGTCACAGCCAGTGGATACTGACGCGGATGTATTCATCTCCTACCAATGGGACCATCAACCACAGATTAAGAAACTTTACCAGCGGTTAACAGATCTGGGATATTCGTGCTGGCTGGACATTAAGCAGATGGGAGGGGGAGATCCTTTGTATAGTAAAATCGACAAAGGTCTTCGTAAAGCGAAGGTATGTATTAACACATATGCGTGGACATGGTCCAATATTAACATAAACTATTGTAAGAAAAAAAAATGAAAATGATTGTAAAACCTTGAATCGGTCTATAAATTAGTGAGACAGAATTCAGTTAACACTAAAGACGGGACTTGTACGGTGGATTCTCTCTGAAATTAAATTATAAAAAGTGAATGAATTAATATGCTACTTGATATATTTATTTTATTCATAGGTAGTCATTTCATGCGTTACGCCAAAATATTCTTTGTCAGCAAACTGCCGCCGTGAGGTTAGCCTATCAGATGCTCTACGTCGACCAATCATTCCAATACTCCTCCAGCAAATGACCTGGCCACCAGAAGGGCCAATGAGTATGACGTTTACTCAACTTCTCTACATCGACTTCACTAAAGAGTCGAGTCAGAAAAATTTTGATGATGGAAAATTTGATGAACTAGTAGAGAAGATCAGTGAGCATGCGCAGCCAGAAGCTTCTTTGCCGGCGGAGAAAAAGGACGAACATGAAGTCAAGAAAACGCCCGATCAAACACCAGCAATATCCAATCAAGGCGAACCTAAGCCAAAGGACCCGGCTCCTACAGAAAAACCCAAACAGGACCCTCCTCCACAAGAAAGTAAAGCAGATTCCCCTTCACCAGAACTTGAGAAGCCAAAGGCGAAATCAAAAGCATGTTGTATATTGTAACACTAAACAATGACTATTAAACCACGAAGTTCTTATGGTAGGCCTATACATCAAGATCTAACCCCAGACACTTTCTCTCACACTCTTAGAGTTCTAATTTTATGATACTCACATTGACAGCGAGAGCCTGCAGGTTCGAATACCGCGAGAGATTTTTTTATACTGAACTGAAGATAAGGAACTTATCGTTGAAGTGCTTTGATTGATATGATTACAACATCATGTTCCTGTTCGAGGACTGTTATTATTATTTATCTATTTCTTTATACACCAACAAAAAACGTAAATTGTCCCCTTAAATAGGGGTTTCAGGCATGTTTTTGCACAATGATGACATGAATTCTTTAATTATTTCATTTTATTTGACCTAAGAATGAGTTAAAGTTGAATTATTACTAATTTATAACAATAATTTGCAATGCAAAAACAATTCATTTATGATATGAAATCAACAGAAATTTAATTAAAACAATAAAAGTTATATATATTCCCGTTATTGTTAATAATTTGAGTGCAATGTTAATTACCAAATATTCTTTTTTTTTTATATTGAGCTTTCTATTGGATGCACAAGATCGAATAGTATGAATAGAGTAACGACTTAGAAATCAGGGTACAGGCTGTGTGGTATAGAATAGAATCCTATGAAAATACACAGCACAAGAAATCCCCATGGTTAATGGTCAAAATTGACAAGATTGTATTTATTATTCAATTTCAATTAACTTTATTCCAATATCAAAACAATACAATTATCAGCAAAAGAAATACATTGGTAGCAGATAAAGGAATAGGTTACAAAATAAGCAAGAAAAATGCTTTAAATATGTAACCCTGCAAAAAAAAAAGAAAAATTAATACATATAAACACATAATACAAAATTATTAAGAGTATAACAACATCAAGAAATAACAAAAATATATATATAGACCTATCAAAGTTAACATTTATTTTTATATTTTTCTATAAGATACTGAGACAATTGCTTTTTAAATTTGCTTATTGAATCTAACTCTTTTAATTTATCAGTTAAATTATTCCGAAATATATTTTGATTTGTTTATATTTAGCATAAGCTTATAACAGTAAACCAATTATAAAGTATCGATAATTCATGGTTCATCATAACATATGCTTGTTGGACATTACTATGACTATAAAACACGCTTGTATCATCAGCATACATTATCATATCAATATGTTTACAAGCAAGGTTAATATCATTGATAAAAAATAAAAACAATAAGGGGTCCCAATATGGATCCTTGAGGAACTCCAGTATTGATAACTTTTTTATTTGAGACTTTATTACCAACAGATGTATATTGCTGTCTATTTGTTAAATAATCTGAAACCCATTTTAGTGGGATTCCTCTTATATAGAACCTCATCTTATTTAACAATCATTATCGATGGTATCAAACGCTTTTGATAAGTCAGGAAAAACGCCTAGAGTAACCTCTTTATTGTCAATTGCATTAGTAATCTTTTCAATGGATTGGAGTAAGGCATGGCTAGTTGAATGATTTTGTCTACTGTGCTGAGCTTAGGATATTAAATTTCGAGAGATAACAAAGTGTTTGATCGTAGTCAATTCGCTCAAATATTTTAGAGAAAATGGTATAATGGAAATTGGCCTATAATTATTTATATCGGTTGTATCTCCCTTTTTAAATACTGGGATGACTTTTGCAATCTTAAGACCAATTGGAACACATCCAGATGATAAATAGGTATTGATAATATGTGTTAGAGGTTTTTATATGACTTGGGAAGCTGCTTTCATAATTTTAGCACTAATATCATCATGGCCAGGAGTTGTGTTCTTAGTATTTTTGATATAAACGCCAGTTCCATATTCAGTGACTGGTTTAAAAAACATTGAGGATGAGAATTTCCTTTAAAAAAAATACGGTATGAGTTATTTGGAATGTTTTGGTTATCAAATTTTGTTTTTAATTTTTGTCCAATATCAACAAAAAAGGAATTAAATGCTTAGTCTTTATCTTTATTATTAATAAATAATAATAATAATAATAATAGTGTAGTTTTATATAGCGCACAAATCCATCTAATGTAAGATGCTCAGGGCGCTTGAAATGTGGACTAGTGACTCGATCAATGACTTTCTTCGCCCCTAAGGGTCCCTTCGTGTCTGTGCTACCCGGTAACCCGGTACCAGCAACTCTCGTCGTCCACCACAGGGGCTGTCTGTTCCAGTACACCGGGGTATCCCCCTACTCGTCTCGAAGGATGTACAGGGTTCTTTATAGTGCACACGAGCCATTGTATACACGAGCCATTGCATATTAGACAACACTTCTGTACCCGATGTCACTTCAGAAGGTAAATTGGTATTCTTTTTTCTACCTATTACTTCGTTCAATATTGTCCAGGTTTTTTCATGTTATTTGTTTTTTGTTTAAGCATTTTAGAGTAATATTGTTTTTTACGATTTCGAATAATTGTGGTTAATTTGTTTCTATAAATTAGTATATTTCTTTTTATTTTCAGGGCTTTTTGTTTGGTTATACCTTTTATATAAACTATTTTTGTGAGTAATAGCCTTTGCTATTTCCTCTGTAATCCAAGGAGATTGTAGTTTATTTGCTTTAATTCGCAATCTTTTTATAGGAAAGAATCTGTTAATTGCATTATTTAAAATATTAATAAATATTTGATGTATAATATATATCATTATTATAATTATCATTTGCATCATTTCCGTTTAAGATATCATTTCATATTCTAAAGTATCACATGCACTAAGTCTATACCAATTAAATTCAATTCTATTTTATATCAGATTTCTCCATAAAAAAAGATTACAAGAAATAATTTTTTTTTTTAACAGTTAAGCACATAAAAATCCACATAAACAGCACAAAATGTTCAAGTGTCTGATATGATGAAGTGGCATTATAAAGATTAAGAGGAAAAAGTGCAGGTTTGATGTTACGTTTATTTCTCTAAAGGTGTCAACATATACAGTATATTTGAATGAATTTTCCTTAATTTGAGACTACTGTGGGTTTTTTGTTGACACTTGAAACTATAAAAAGTGTCTTCTTAAGTTAAACATGTATTGATTGACCATTTGGCACAATCAGAAAAATCGTCCTTGTTCCTTTAATATTAAGGGTGTCTTCGCAATAGAGATTGGCCGTAGTGTTAAAAGATATATTTCCCCTCGTTCTACTGGGTGTCCCTTGAATAGGGGTGTCTTAAGAAGGGGAGGGGTCTACTGTAATATGATGTAATAACTCAATGGTTTTGAAAGAATGCTTTGAAAGCATTCGAATTTCAGGCAGACGAACGAGTAGGTGATGGGCGACTGCTTACAATCGCCATGGTGAATTTAAGTGCTGTCAATATTTTCTTTACTTTGCCGGTTCACTAACAATACACAATACAATACATACAATAAAATTGACTTTAGTAGCCAATATATGGAATAGTGCTCTGTGAAAATCATGGGCACAGATCATGGGAGAGACAGGGGACACCTCCCTATCCCCCACACGTATTTTGAAGGGGGTTTCCAGCCAGCTATGTACTATTTACCAAAATTGTCACGCCTCAGTAATTGAGTGGTGGACGTTTATAGGCAGGTTGTATACTTAACAACACACGTACACGGGTATAATACGAATGCATTGTTGATACTGTAAAGCCCTTTATTTTCGTGGCCCTTTATTTTTGTGGCCCTTTATTTTTGTGGCCCTTTATTTTCGCGATTTTACAATATGAACACCTTTTATATTATTCTTTTGCTACTTGTTTTTAAGAACATATTTATTTAAACTGTTTTCTCATTATGACTTATCAACTTTTCATCGTTCTGTCTCCTTCTATATTACCATACGCTACGGTACCGTGTACTTTATCTGCCGCTTAAACATAGTATTTAATGTGTGCATCATTGTCTCTCCGCACCATGTGTTTATACAGTATATAAAAGATAAAGGTAAAAGCAGGAGAGTAACCCATAACTCGCAGCTTCATTGTGCTGAATTGTGTATAGGCGTGGTCCGTGCATACCATTTAATACCACATATAATACCATTAAATAAAATATATTAACTAATAAATATCAAATTAAATAAATAAAATAAATAAAGATTGATATATATGTATAGACGTAAAGACGTCTATATATGTATATATATATATATATATGTATATATACAGTATATATATGTATACATATATAATATTGTTATTATTTTTATCCAATAAAGTGTTTCTGAATTCTATACATGGAATTCGTTTCCTATATTCTTTTGATTCATATATATATATATATATATATATATATATA